TATTATTTCTACACCACTTACTTATTTAAAATGGATAAATAATGAAGAATATAAGTATAAAATTCACTTTTGATTCAAAGTAAACAATTTTCATTACAACAAATATCCAATAGAACAATATAATATTACATTTAGTTCATAATACTCAAAATATACAAAAATTATATTACATAACTTCCTTTATATGAGGTCTCAAAATATAAGGAAAAAAAACTTAAATGAAAATTACTCGACTCTATCCTTTTAACACTTCTCCACTAGCCCCTTAGCCTGTGTGTAACACATTAATTTAATTTTCAAATAAATAAATAAATTTTGCAAAAATGGGAATAATAAAAAAATTTCATTCAAACGGCTTCCCAATGCACAATTTCATTAAAGTATTTCAAAATAAGGATGAATTACAAGTTTGAAATAATCATTGCTACAAGACTTAATCAATACATTTCAGTTCCAAAAATAAATATTCTCAGTCCTATAGCAGTATCATCTATCCCTTCATTGAGCCCGGTGCTGATCGTCTTGATCACTTGAAAAATAAATGTAAAGGTGAGTACTCTATACTATCACACACAAGTACAGAGACTCACCTTACGCAATATACATTTTTCTAACATTATTCAAACCACATATCAAGTAGATATAAAATAATACATTTACAACATTCTAAACATTCCATTTCAATTCACAAACAGGTGCGCTTACTGCACCATCAGTCAATCCACACGCCCGTGCGTTCACTGCACGTAGCCACACTCCCTGTGGCACTGTGATCACAGATTCCTAATGCCCTCAACCTTAGGGGCTTACTTAGTTCACATCATGGATGGTCCCCGGATAGCTCCCACCCCACAGATACAACGTGTGCGGTACTGAGCCCCCCAAGCAAAAGTGTTAGTCAGAGGCTAAGTCAGAAGGAGAATGTGTGGCCTGTGGTGCACCCACGCTCACTGTTGGTGTCACCACCACCTTTTCTTCCCCAAGGTATTTTTACTGCCCCATCTTCCACACTCCAGTGTATCACTGAACCATTCATAGTTTTTCAACATTCCAAACATCATCACAATCACACCTACGTGTCATTCATACATATTTCCAACCATTCACAATATTCAACATCAATCAATGGCATGTCTAAGCATTTCAACCAAAAATTTCAGCACACATCATACTCAATATCAATCACATTGTACTCAAACACACAATATTTTCCATCGCATTTCATACCAATCAATTCATTCCATTATACACACTATATTCTAAATAACCTTTCTATTGCAATCTCACTACAATTAAATCAGTTCCATTAAAATACATATCTTCTTACATTTTGATCATTCACATTACAACACATGGCAAAATGACAAATTTCAAACACAATGAGATAGGGTAGAGTCCCCTTTACCTCGAAATGAATACCCACAACACCAATCAACAAGGAATGTGCTTCCTACATGAACTTTCATCATAAATAAAGGGAAAACCCTACCAGAAACTGAGAAATTAAAGAAAGGGGATGAAAAGCCGAAAACCCTAACTCACAAACTTACCTCCAAATACCCCAAACTTGATTTCAACCTTCAATCTAGCTTCCCGATGGCTTTTGACGCAATTTAATGGGTAAGAATAGGTTGGGAATTGATGAAAGAAAATTTTCTCATTTGCAAAAAGATTTGTCGTCAACCTTCATCAAAATATGCAGAAAAATTTATGTAGTCTAGGATGAAAGCTTAGGTTGTCTCCAATGACTTTGGTTTGTAACATACATTGAACATGTTATAAACATTTACTATGAAAGCAATTAAAACAAGGGGGTTTTATGTGATTCCAATTTTAATGTAAAGGCAAGTGATGAAATTAATGAATCCAATCAATGAAATGTGCAATCCTTAGTTTGTTCATGTAATTCTATCCCTATCCCTCTCAAGATTCAGTACTTTTCCTCTTCCTCTGAATTAGGGAAACTCAAAAAGCAAGAATTAACCTTAAAGTCCCATACGAATTAAGCAATTTACATGGGCTCCAACCCTTTTCCCTAAGATTACGCAACCTTAGAAACTAACTTAGGATTAAGCAAACCAAGTTAAGAATTTCATTAAAACAAATTAGGGTTAATTAAGCAATGTCCCCCTCATTCAAACATTAATTCAATTCAAAGAGTTGGGAGATATAAATTCATAAAGGAAAGGAAATTATATTGACTTTCATACCCAGGAATTCAAGAATCCATGAACTCACTAAGGATTGCAAGAAAGTTTAGCCCTCCATGAGGATGGGTCTTACAATTTTAAGATGAAAGCAAAAGGAATTCAATGACATCAATGCAAGAATTAAAGGAAAGTGAAGAGAAATTGTAAATCAAACCCTAAGATTGACCTTGGCTGTCACCCAAGTATCCTAAGCTCTGCAAAATGCTCCCAAAGTGGCAAAAGAATCTAAAATTGTAAAAAAATCTGTACCCTAATTTCTAAAAATCTATATATACTAAGTCTGACATGGCCACATAGTGATCACTCTGTAAACAAAAGTGATTACGCGCAACAACTTCAGATTTTTTCCCTTTCTAGAGTGATCACTCTCACTTTTGAGAGTGATTACGCGCAAAGCTCTTCATCCTGAAGCTCTATGGAGTGATCACTCTCACTTCTGAGAGTGTTTACGCAGAGGCACTGTGATTTTGGAGCTTTCTGGAGTGATCACTATCACTTCTAAGAGTGATTACGCGCAGGCCTAGTCGTTCTCTTTAGCTCTGGAGTGATTAATGCTGCTTATGAAAGTGGTTACTCTGGCCTATCCCTTGGAATCAGTTCCCTGGAGTGATCACTATAGTACCTGAGAGTGATTACTCTCAGTTCATATTTTTCCAAGAGTCAAAAATTCATGAAATTTGTCTAGAATTTCCTGCACAATTATTCAAATGATCAAAATTTCAAAATATATTCACAAAAATTAGTGGAAATAAGACAAAAATTAAGAAAGCTATAATATTTGACCTAAATGAGGTTTTTATGTTATTTACAATCTTTAAGTCTATTTTTTATATTAAAATTCAATAAAAAGCTAGACAAAATATCTATAAATTGTGGATTCATCAAGAATCGAGAGAGCAAAGAGAGATCTCGAAGGGAAAAGTGAGACATGAATTTTCCAAACCCTGAACACCTCAAATACCCCTTGAGTCGCGACACTATTGCTAAAGTAATGTTTCCTCGCTGCAGCGATACCCCTCTCGCTACAGCAAAAATCTCAAACAAATATGCACTATGGTTTCTGTAGAATCTTGCTACAGCGAGACCTTCTCGCTACAGCGAGACTGCACCCTGAAAACACCCCTTCTTTATTGCCCTCTCGCTACAGCAAGAAGTCTCTCGCTACAGCAAGAACGTAACATATGCAGTCCTCTCGCCTAGGGCCTTCTCGCTGTAGCGAGAATGTGACACCTAGGAGCTATAGCGAGGACGCAACAAAATCACCCTTTTCTCCCAAGACCTTCTCGCTACAGCGAGAATGCCACAGACTCATGTTCTACGCCCAAGGCCTTCTTGCTACAGCGAGAATGCCCCTGCAGCACACAACCTACATTTTCAATCAATCCAAACACATCCAATCTCTTAATACACCACTTACATCCACAATTATACATATATATATATATATATATATATATTCACCTACACGTATTCACACATATTTACATCATCACACATACACACATACATTCAAATCATCATACTCATCAAATACCCATTCAAATGGAAATTCACAATTTATGCTACATCTGTTTTCAAACCAATGTACGATCATCGCAGTACACACACAACCGCAGAGACAAAAATGTAAGGGTGAGCTTACAAAAGAAAAATTATATATATATATATAGCAAAATATTACTCACAGCAACAGCCCCATGCATTCCTAGCCCATCTAATGCACAGAATGAAAATGATTCCAACTGGTTTCACAGCCTAAATAATCCAAAAAGAATCAAGCTAATCTGGGAGCGACCCATTCTGGTATTTGAATCCAGACAGCACAGCTCAACATGCTCTCTATCGTTACACGTCTACCCACCTAAACATGTAACTCGGCTATATAATGATGCAAGACATATATTTCAGCATGATGCAGTAGAGACAAAATTGCATTCTCAATAGCTCAGCTAAAACAATTTATAATATTTCAGTCAAATCTCAACTTTTAAATCAATAAACAGTAGTTACAACATAGAAAATAGCTTTTATCCAAGAGATCTAACAAAATCATCTAAAAACTTCTTGTAATAACATACCAAATCATTCTAAACATCGTTTAATAGTTAAAGTAAGCTCCCCTTACCTTAGAACAGCGATTCACACCAGATCTATTGAATATTACTTGTTTTAAGGCAAGATCCATCGAAGATTTAGCTCTACAATGAAGTTTCTTCTAAGATATCATTAACTATCTATAAGAAAGAGAAGAAGAAGAGAAATGAACGGTAAATCTATTTTCAAACTTATAGAAACTTACTTCAAATCCTTCAGAACAAATACGGAATCTCAGATCTAGTGAGAAATCTAAGTTTAAGAAGGTTTAGTGTGAGAGAAAATGGTGGTATATGGCCTTGGATCTTCTTAGAACCTTTGAGAAGGGTAAAGAAATGAAAATTTCGTGCAAGGTCTCCCATTTATAAGCAAAATTCCAAAAAAAAAATTGGTATTGTTCACGCCAGATTTATTGTTTTCGCTAGAGTTACTGTTCACACTGCCTTACTGTTCATGCTGGATTTACTGTTCACTTTTTTTAAAAAAATAATAATAATTTCAAACTCCATCTAAATCTATTCCAATACCAAATAATCCTTCAATTAATGTTTAACAAGAAAAAAATATTACAAGTTACTCAATAATAAATTTACAAGCCCGACAATTCTCCCCTTAAAAATAAATTTTTCACCCTAAAAAATTTCATCTCTCAGAGAAAAGATAAGGATACAACTCTCTTATTTTCTTCTCTAATTCTCAAGTAGCATCTCTAGTAACTAGGTCCCAAACAACCTTCACAAGCCAAATAGACTTGCCTTTAAGCTCCTCAATACGAGCAGTTGGAACTTCAATAGATAAATCATCTCGTATCTCCACAACATCTGGCTCAATTACATGAGACAGATCAAGAATATACTTCCTCAACTGTGATACATGAAAGACGTTATGTAACCCTACCAACTAAGGTGGTAAAGCTAGCTCATAAGCTACTGGTCCTTTGCAATACAATATTTGATACGGCCCAATGAACTTCAGAGTCAACTTCTTTGCCTTCAATGCTTGTCCCACACCTGTATTACGTGTGATGATTCATATTTTATACTCACATTTATAGCCTTATGGCATCTTCCAAAATACCTTTCCTCTCTTTAATTATTGTATTTAGCATGTTTTTGCATTTCTTGCATTAAATTGGAGTTTTTATGAATACTTGACATCTTTACTTTATATTTTGTATTTTTTCTATTCTGACCTTTGTCCACTATTTTGGTAATAACTTTTCTGCAGACCTCCTTTTTGGATGATTCTTTTTGTAATGAATTCCTGACTTTTTGAGCTTCAATTTGAACATATGGATCATGTTGTTTGGAGTTCGGAGCTATTTTCTATTAATTTTTGAAGTTTAGACTTAAAATTTACCTTTTAAATTTAGGGTTTCTACTTAGGGCTTTTATTTTATTTTTTGCAGAGGCCTTGGCCCATTTTTTTTCGTTTTCATTTAAGAACAGTATATATAGGGGTCAAAAGGTTGATTTTGCACCCTTCATCTTATCCTTTTAATAATTTCATTTTTCAATAAAGACACTTTCCTGTTTTTTAGAGTAAATTTGTTTCGTTCTATTCGCTTGCCTCTCTTCGGATCCTGCTATGTTCTTAATTATTTGGTGTCGCGAATCATCTCGTCTTAAGCGTGGATTGCTAGATCGATTGAGCGCTCCGAGTTTGTCTTTTTACCTTATCGCAATTCTTGATTAAGATTTGTGCATGCATAATTTGATTGAATTTGATTTTTGTCCTTGAATGTAATATCGATTGATTGTTTTCTATTGCACTTGAGTTTTGGATAAATTTGGTATAGTAATCCTAGTTTGTGTCTGTAGTTCGTGGGTTTAATTCGTGTTAGTTTTAATTGTTTTTGTTTCATTTTTCATTTTTCAATTTCCGTTCTCAATTATTTTTTTTACATTTCTTTTCAAATTTTAAATTCAAATTTAAATTCAAATTCGTTTTCATATTTATTTTTAGATTTGTTTTCAAATTTTAAATTCAAATTTGGTTCTAGATTTATTTTTTAGATTTGTTTTCAAATTTTAAATTCAAATTCGTTTTCAAATTTATTTTTAGATTTGTTTTCAAATTTTAAATTCAAATTCGTTTTTCAAATTTATTTTTAGATTCGTTTTCATTGTCTTGATCCGCTTTCATTTAAATTACTTTCGTTTTAATTCATCGTTAAATTACAAACCCCCAAATTTATCACCATTGCATGTTTAAAATTTGGAAATAAAATGAATTTGTATCCTTGTGAGATGACCTAGGTTTACTCCCTATATTGCATGCTTGTTTGAGGAATCTAGTTTTGTTTGAAACCATTACAACGTGGTTGTTAACGTGACACTCGAATGGTAGCTATTATTATAAGTGAAATCTACCAAAAGAAGCATATCCTCCCAATCACCCCTCTGCTCCACAATATAAGTCCGCAACAAGTCTTCTAAGGTCTGAATAGTACACTCAGATTGACCATCTGTCTGCGGATGATATGCAAAACTCAAACTCAATTGCGTGCCTATAGCTTCCTAGAAACTCTGCCAAATTGAGAAATAAATTGGGGATCTTTATTAGAGATAATACTAGAAGGTACTCAATGCAACCTGACAATATCTCTAATGTACAATTCTGCTAATTTCTCCAAGCTATAGGTCATGTTGATCAGCAAGAAATGCGCACTCTTGGTCAACCTATCAACTATGACCCACACAACATCATGATTCTTAACTGTTCTAGGTAGATGAGACACAAAATTCAATCACATGTTCCCACTTCCACTCTAGAATTTCTATCATCTGCAACTCTCCTAGAGGACTCTAGTACTCCACCTTTGCCTTCTGGCAAGTTAAACAAGTTTTAACAAACTTAGCTATCTCTCGCTTTATGCCTGGCCACCAAAACATCTGCTTCAAATCTTGATGCATCCTGGTAACATCAGGATGAATGTTGAGACTACCCTTATGTCCTTCTTCTAGACTTACTCTCTTTAATTTAGCATCTCTAGGGACATAAACTCGACCTTGGCATCTAAGAATACCATTAGCACCTCTACTAAAACCCTATATCTTATCTATCTCCAAGAGAAATACAGTTCGACATAACATAGGATTTCATAGCTATTTGTCTTTAATTTCTTACAAGAAACTATCAGTTATCACAATCTGGCTACAACTAATCTTTTCAAGTGATAAGTCTACATGTAAGTTCAGGTCTCGAAATTGTTCTACCAAAAGAGTTTCACTAACTCTTAAGGAGAATGCCTGAATCACATTTCTGCTTATTTCATCAGCCACCACATTAGCTTTTCCTATATGGTATTAGAGTTGAAAATCATAATCCTTAAGGAATTCTATCCAACGCCTTTGCCTCATATTTAACTCTCGCTGATCAAACAAATACTTTAAACTCTTATGATTACTATACACATCAAACCGAGCTCCATAAAGATAGTGTTGTCACACCTTCAAAGTAAAGACTACAATAGCTAAATCAATGTCATAGGTCAGGTAATTTTACTCATGAGTTTGCAACTAGTGAGATGCATAAGCTGCCACCCTCTTATCTTGCATTAACACACACCCTAATCCCTGATACGAAGCATCACAATACACCTCAAATGACCAGCTAGTATCAGGGAGAATCAACATTGGCGAGGAGGTTAATCTCTGCTTCAACTCATTAAAGCTTTGCTCACATTCCTTAGTCCATACAAAAGGTTGATCACGACGAGTTAACTGTGTCAATGGTGCAGCTATCTTCGCAAATCCCTCTATAAATCTCCAGTAGTAACCTACTAAGCCTATAAAACTACGAATCTCTATGGTTGTCTTTGGCCTTTCCCATTGCAACACAGCTTAAACTTTGAAAGGAACAATTGCAATTCCCTTAGCTGAAATAACATGGCCAAGGAACTTCACTTCCTCTAGCCAAAACTTACACTTAGACAATTTAGCATATAGTTGTTTCTCCTTCAAAATACCTAATACAGTCCTCAAATACTCTGCATGTTCTTTTGGCGAACTAGAATAAATCAAGATATCATTAATGAAGACTACCACAAACCAATCCAGAAAAGGTCTAAAGATTCGGTTCATGTAGTCCATAAACATTGCCGGAGTATTAGTAACTCCAAAAGGCATCACTATATACTCGTAATGACTATATCTAATACGGAATGTTGTCTTTGGGATATCTTTATCCATTACTTGGATTTGATGGTACCCAGGCTTCAAATCAATCTTAGAGAATACTTTAGCGCCTCTTAACTGGTCCATCAAATCATCAATTTGTGGCAACAGGTAGTTATTCTTAATTGTCTACTTATTCAACTTACGAAAATCAACACACAATCTAGAACTCCCATCTTTCTTTTTCACCAAGAGAACTGGTGCTCCCTAAGGTGATAACTCGGCCTAATCATTCGTTTCCACATTAGATCCTTAATCTGCTCCTTAAGCTCCATTAACTCTTTCAGCGCCATTCTGTAAGGTGCTACAAACACTAGTTCAGCTTTAGTAATCAAGTCTATAGTAAACTCTACCTCTCTATGCAGAGGTATTCCAGGAATATCCTCTGGGAAGATCTCAAGAAATTCTCGTACTATTGGTATTAATTGCAAACCCTGCTCATTCTCTGCATTCATGATGGCCAAAAGAACATAACAAGAGACCCTTTCACTCAAGGATGTTGCTACTTGACGAGTAGAAGCCAGCTCAACATAGTCCTGCTGCTCAGGAAAAATCAAACACCTCTGCCCACAATTAATCAGTACACAATTGACAATCAGTCAATCCATCCCTAGAATTACATCCAATCCTGACATCGGGTACAAATAAGATTTACCTTGTACATTCGTCCCTCCATTACTATAGGACACCTAACACAAACTGTTAAAGTCTTGATCAAACTCAGAGTAGGTGTCAATACTATCAATTTACATCCTAGATCACTCATCGACAATCCAAGTTTCTCACACAAATATCTTTAATCCACTGCTCGGCCACATCCGACCCATCAACTCTAGTAAACTGAGGAGGATTGTTCTTCCTGAACTCAGACAATCCTTGATATTCAAGAGGAGGTACAGTTGAGGCAATGGCTGTTGTTGCCTGTGCTGGAGCAGCAGCTTGATTTGCAGCCTATTGCTGCTGTATCACTTCTAGACTTTGCCTCACTGTGGCTGCCATAGCCTCCATGGCGTGAGCAATTTGGTCACGTCAACAGGCGGAGGAGGGTTTGCAGTAGATCTTCTTGGTCTAGCGATCTTAATATAAGTAGCTTAAATTATTAACATTCAACACACTCAACAATACCACCACATAGCTATATTCATAGATTTAGCTTACAGTAATATTTTCATATTAAGTATATCATAGCAATTTAATCAATTTAGCGCTTAGCATAACATTATATCAACATTCTCAGCATTCACACAGCATAGCAAACACACTTATTTGAGCAATCATTTATAACTTAGCTTAACAGCTTATCATTCACACAACATGACTCGCCTATAGCTCACCCAAGTATCATATACCAAAATTTCCTACATTTGTCGTGTCTGAGAATCGAGGTGATCAAGCTACATTGGGTTTAACCTGAAGTCCTTCATCTATTCTCGGGTCTAGTTCTACATCCAACTCTTCTTCTGACTGAGGAGATACGATGTTAACATCTCGTCTATGCACGGGGAGGAGTTTTAGGCGCAAGCTTACAAAATAGCATTCTCTGACCATCTTTTGGTCTGCATGGACCGTGACAGTTTGACCTCTGTCCAAGGGAAATTTCATAGCCAAGTAAGGAGTGGACGCTATGGCCTTTAACTTGTTGAGGGATGGTCAATCGAGCAATATATTCTATGAAGTTCTTGCGTGTACCACTGGGTAAGTTACCTTGATACATTTTCCTTCCTATTCTGACTCGAACAGGGTGTATAAATCAATACAACCTCAAGTTTCCACCTGTTCACTTGAAAAGCCGACAAGTGGTTCATTATACTCTTTCAGTTCCTCTTCTGGTATCCCTAGCTGTTTGAAAGTATTCCAATAAAGGATGTCAGCCGAACTCCCTTGATCAATTAGGTCTTTCAGACTGTATAATTAAAAATATCCACGCTTATGACGATAGGGTCGTCTTGAACTAGATCTATTCCTTGAAAGTCCCTATCAATAAATATGATCAAAGGTATTCAAATTTTGTTCCCTAATGATATATGCTTTACTAATCGAACATGTCTCAAATGTCTTTCGAGCCGAGGTGGTAGATCCTCCCCCAGCAAATCGTCCTGCTATAGTATTAATGATTCGACGAGGATACTTCTTGCGCTCATCATGACGTCTGACAGGTGGCTCTCTTGATCTACTACGCTATCGTTCATTTCTCTTCTTTTCAAATCTTCTTGAATGCTCAGATTGGTAATTCCTGCCCCTCTCAGTTTGTATAAATCCCTATGAATGACCTTTAATCAGGTCCTCGATGCGGTCTTTAAGGGCTGTACATTCCTCGGTGGTATGGCCCCTATTTCTGTGGTAATGACATGATTTTGACTTATCTGCTCGAGGGGAGATATTTGCATGCCTAAGAATAGTCAGTATCTCAGTTGCCAATGCTTGTTCGAGTACTCTTGACCGATTAGTATTTAAAGTAGTATAAGAGGTATACTTTGGTCCTCTTAGGGGTCGTTCAACTCCACCCTTCTGTCTCTGTTTTCTTGTCTGTTTTTTAATGGTTCACTTCTGTCACCCTCTCTATGGTTTGACCCCCATTTCTAGTTGGACTTGGCCTTGATGTTCTACCAGTTCTTCCATCTGCATGTACTTTGTTGACAAAATGTCCTGACTTTAAAGCCATTGTAAGGTGATGCATGGCGACTGCCGGCTCCAGGTTGTGGATTGAGAGGGCTACCTTGCCAAAGCATTCCATGAACACTCTAAGTGTCTCTTTTTTCTCTTGTCGGATATTAACTAAAGCCAATGATGTCATGAGGACGGCTTATGGCAAATTGCAAATTAAAGCGTGTGTGGAGTGTTTCAAATGAATCGATTGACGAGGGGATAACTTGGTGAACCAGTTGAGAGCCGATCCACAGAGTAATGTGGGGAATATCAAACATAATAAAGCATCGTTGTCTGTGTATAGGCCGACTTAAGTTGAAAAGATATCCAAATGCTCTTCAGGGTCGAATGTTTCGTCATATTTTTCCAATGTTACACCCTTCCAATTTTCTGGTAACTTGGCTTCCAAGATAAGCTGAGTAAAAGAGCTTCGGCCTAATGTCCTATCTTGTTCCATAGGAGTAGTTTGCTGGTAAGTTTTTGGCTTTTCCTGCAAAGCCGAAGACTCTCCTTGCTCTTGGGCGAAAGGGGTAGTTTGAGAAGGAACATAAGTTCTGATCTCATCCCTTAGATTGGCGTTCTCTCTCTTTAATGCCAACAATTCAAGTGCATCTTTTTTTCTTAACCTCTGTATCTCTATCATTTCAGTCCTTAGTTGTTTTACTACCTAAAAGAGATTTTCATCTCCTCCGTTCTCGGCCATAACTTCAGGTATCGGTGGGTTAGGTTGTAGCTTCCTCCTGCTGATGAGAGGCTCCTCATTGCTGACTCTATCCTTCATGCTGACTCCTTGTTAGCACCATGATTGATCTGAAGTTAAGGCAAATTGTGCCCCACAGTAGGCGCCAAAATGTTCCTGTTACGGATACAATAGTCTTTTGTCGCTTTTCCTCTTCGGTCTTGCAAGATGGCATCTTTATAAATATCTTACTCCTTTGTATGATGACGTGGGGGATGTACCTGCAAAAGGTACTTTGGTAGTAAAGTCAGATGTCGGTATAGGCAATAAATGCTATATTCTATTCAAAGTCAACATTTTACTTGTACTTCTTACTTTCTTTTTATAGATATTTTATTGGGCCAATGAGCTTTATGGCTTTGCCCTATCTTTAGCCTTGTTATTAATGATTATCTTTTTTAATTTGTTTAATTATCTCCAAGATAAACAAATTGGATAAGTGCTCGTCCTTCGATACCAAAAAGGTATTCAGATTCCTTTTTTTCGACACAGTGGCTGAGTAGAATATCTTTTTATAGATATTTCATTGTTTATATTTACAGATTGAGAAGGAAAAAAGTGTAGACAATACAAATGCAAAAACAAAAGAAAATGATTTGGCAATAAGTTATTTACCTATATCTCTAACCATAGAAACACTAAATTTACCAAAAAAAAATGAGAAAATTAATGTATAAATTATAAATTTATAATGTATTGTTCAAATTTCTTATATTAGTAATTTATATTTGATATTTTCTTTTAGGTTGTAATTTAAGGAAGACGAAGCAAAAAATTGTGAACAAAAGACAACAACGGAGGATTTAGAAGATATATTGAACCATTTTTATTGCAATATTGTATAAATACTTTTAATATTGTGTAGAGTCTGAAAAGTAAAATGTCACCAAATATTTAAGTCTTTTATAAAATAATTTTGTTATTTTATTATACATATATATATATATATATATCTTATTTTATTATTATTATATATTATGTATTAACTTTGTTTTTAGACAAATCTTATATGTGATTCATAAATTTTATATTATATCAATATCTATAAATTTAATTGATATAAAGATTAATTTTTATATTAAATACAACAATTTTTTTCTTTTAGTTTCTACCTAAATCTTAATTAAAAATTTTTAACTATTTTTTTTTCTCTTCTATTATTTTAATTTTTTTAGAAAATAATTTAATAGAAATTGATATATTAAAATTATGTATAACCTATTAACATAGACAATATTTTATTTATATTTTATATTATAATAATTATGATGACAAATTTAATTTTTTTAAATTAAAAAATTAACAATATTCATACTTAATGATTTTGTTGTAATATTTTTAATAACATGCTATAATGATGATGATAAATTTAAAACTCTCCAATTAAAACTAATTAATTATAATAATTAAAATAAATTAAAAATTATTAAATATCATAACAATAAAAATGAATATGATTTAACTATTTTATTTTCATATTTAATAATTTTATATCATAATGAATGAATAAATAAAGAAAATATATGTTTTAATTCTGAATTAAGTTCAAATGTTATATTTAATTTATATATATATATATATATATATATATATATATCATTTATTTTAAAATTTTATGAGTATGAAGCCTAAATCTTTACAACTATTAAAAGACTTTAAATTCAAGAAAAATAGAAGTTAGTATTTAAAATGTTATAAAAATATTTTTTATATTAACATATCAAATTACATTTATTTATTAGAATTTCATATTCTAACTATATGATTATTTAAAATTTTTAGATTGGAATATAAATTATAATACTTTTGAAAATTTTTATGATAACATCAAATTACAAATGCAAAGAAGAGTGCTTCATAATAAAAAAATTTAGTCATTTTGTAAATTTACAATTAGTTTTTAAGATATAAATTAAAATGCAGATATTATACATAAAAATATGAAATCAGTATAATTTTTTTTTAATATAATTATTTATTATATTATATTCTTAAATTATATATTTTTTAATTAAAAAAATTAAATCAGGTTCACTAAATATTAATCTCTTTTTATAGAATTAGATAATGTATGAGAAATTGACAAAAAAATATATTTAAAAATAAAAATCAAATATCTAATTTGCTAAATTTGCATCAAAATGGTTAGAACACATTTATTTTTTTAATAGCGATATAATATTTTAATGTATTTATATTAAAGTTATATTTATATATCTTTAAAATAATTAGAGACATAATAATAATATTCTTTTTTTTACTTATTTTTAGTTTAATCTATGTGTTTTCTTTTATATAGCATTTTAAATTTAGTTTTAAATTTTTTTTTAAATTAATAGTTGTTCTTTTAATAAAATTTTTAAAATATTATTTTATTATTAAATTATTTTATAGATATATTTATTTTTATTAATTCTTAATTAAAATAATAAATAATAAACAAATTGTATTAATTATTTTTAAAAATTTAAAAATAATTATATAAGAAAAATTAATAAATTTATTATTTTAATTTATGATCTAAATAACATAATTTTATTATACTTAATTGATTATTAAATAAAATTTATTTATTTATAATGTCAATAAACAGTAATTTTATTAAATTATCAAAAAATATAAAATCATTTAATCATTTAAAAAACAACTCAATTTCATATATATATTTTTTTTATCAAAAAGTAAACTTTCAAATTCAATATATATATTATATGATTATTAATTTTTATTTACAATATTTTTGTATGATAATTTTACTTATATATGAAAATTTTAATATATTTTTATTTTGAAATATTAATATATAATTTTATGTATATTAATTTTTAAAAACAATTTTTAAAATTTCATACATTAGATAAATAAATACTTTAATTTTTATATATTAGTCTGATAGGTTATTTTTAAAAAACATGATATCATGTTTTAATAATTATATAGTAAAATTTTATTAATAATTTTAAATTATAATTATATATAGATAGTTTATCATATAAATTTAATTCAATAAATATAAATAAATATATAAATAAAAAATTATAAGGCTTTTTATTTAAATTTATAACATATATTAACAAATTTATTATATTTATTAATTTATTGTTATAATTATTTATTTAAAATTTTATAATAATAAATAATTTATGATATCATGAAACAATATAAATTTTACTTTTATATTTTAAAAATAAAATATTTTTATGTTATTTTATTTTATGCTAAGAAATTCTAAATTATACATATTTTAAATAATAATTTATTTTGTCAAATAAATTTTTTATTATATTTATATATTTTATATTTTAAAATAAATTAATTTAATAAAAAAAAAATAAACGATGCAATGCACGGCATATTTTCTAGTACTATATATAATTTAAGAACTAGAATAATTTATTACGGAAACATTTTAAATCATTAACGTATCTATGATTAACACAGCCAAATAAAAAGATTAAAAAAGCGCATAATATAAATATATATAGGATACCCTCTTCACTATAACAATTACACAACAGATTTGAGGGGAACAATCGTTTTTCATTTGAAAAAAAAATAAAACACAAAAGTAGCTAACAATGAGAGTAAAGAGTTTGTGCAAACGGAGGAGTGTCCCCTCTGCAAGCGGTCCTTCCTTCTCCGCCATTCCTCTCTTATCTGATCAACGCATCGCCACCGTTTACGATACCGAGAATGACGATGACGATTGCATTAAATCCGAAGCTGAAGCCGAACCCGAACCCCGACCCGAACCTGTGGACTTGTTGGACAGGAGCATCTGCATATGTTGCGACGACAGAGGCAAGGAAGAGGAAGTTTTGGTTTGCTCCGAAAAGGACTGCCCCGTCGCTGTCCACGCCAGCTGCATCGGCTCCGAACCTAAATTCGACGCCTCGGGTAACTTCTACTGCCCCTACTGCTGGTACAAGCGTGCCGTGGACACGTGTCAACAGTTGAGGGAAAAAGCAATGGTCGCAAAGAAAGCCTTGTCTACCTTTCTGGAAACACGTGCCGATTCTAATGCCACACGTGGCAGAGAAAACGTGAACCCGGTTCAGGATGGACCTTACGTTTCTGAAACGGAATCTGAAGAAGATGAAGGAGAGGTGTCTGTGACATCGACGGGTAGTTCTGTGAGTGAGACTGGCGATTCCGAATCTGAGGGCATCTCAGTGAAGAAAAGGAAGGTTGGTTCTGTGCGGAAATCGTTGTTACCAAGCAGTAGAGGGAAATTGGCTCGGGATGTGAATGCGGAAGTTCAAGACTCGAAAAGTTTGAGAAAACCACTGAGGTCACCCTTGCAAGGGTGAGTCATTCGTCGAATAGTGTGTTCGTTTGCTTGCGAACTGCAATTTGGAACTATGGCACCATCAAGGTTTAAATTGCGATAGCCGTGTTGGTGGCAATTGCTACTGCATCCATAACTGAGATGTTGCAGTTGCATCACTTAATGCGGTTCACCGTTTAAACCATGGATGTATGAATGAATACATGTTTTATTGATTTGTTGCAATTTTTTTTTGTGAGCGGCTTAAACTATTTTTTGGATGGGGCCGAATCTTTAGTCTATTATTGTTTCTGAATGCAGCATGAAGCAGGCTTCATTGACTGCAAAGCGTAGGAGATTACGTTGGACAGATGAAGAAGAAAAAGTACTGAAGGTATGGGTTTCATGAAATCCCATGTTTTTATAGAACATACTTATTTATTGATATGGTGCTCTAACAATGTCAAATGGTTTCAAAATTCAAACAGAAGTTTTTATTTCAAACTAAGCTTGTTTGGTGATGCATTGATGATGAATGTCAGAATAAGAGAGAGGAAGGAGTAGTGATAGACTTATGGTGATAGATACAGTGGTGGTGGTGGTTATGGTAGTAGCGAACATGATGCTGGTATGATAACAACTATGTTAGTGATAGTGACAATAACTTGATAGTTGACAACGGTATTGGTGATGGTGTCAGTGGTAGCACGAATGATAATAGTTGTGAAGGTGATAACAATAATGGTAATGACAACAACGTTAGTGACTATTATGGTGGTGATGATAATGGTAGTAGTGGTGACAACATTGGTCATTAACTACTGGTGGTTATGGTGGTGACAGTTAATTGGTGACAACAATGACAATGATGACAGTGATAATGATTATGGTAATTGTTATGTGTATTTTAGGAGATATAAGAATTGAATGATTTGTTCTACAACTAAAAACAAAAACTAAGGTAAAATTATTTTGAAATTTGATTATGAATCAATTCAACTCCATTTTAGTGAAACAGGTTTTGTTTTGAAATTTGCATTTAAAAATAAAATACTGAAAACATGGCACTACCTAGAATAGGCCCTAAGTGTATGAGTTTGCGAGAAGTAGACATGTTTGTTTCCCATGATTAAACCGAAAGCATGATATGGTAGAACACATTCGTGTTATGATAGACCGTTGGCAATAAAGATATTGGAAATACTCGTGGATAATGCTCTTAGGAAATAACATTTCATTCATGTATGTGTCATGTGATAAAATGCATTTAGTACTATTGGGTATTGGTGTCTAGGAGTAGGAGTTGCCCTTGGTAGCATAGGAAATAGTCTTCACTAATTCTTTTAAGAATCCATATACATGGATGATATGCAAAACCTATGTACTACATTATCTTGAATAAGAAAGTTTTCTTCATTCTCTAATTTCTTTCCACATTATTTTTCCTCTCTTCATCTCCCTCTAAATTCATCATGGTATCAGAGTGGTACCAACCTCCATGAGTCACAATTCTATAGCCTTTTTCCTATAATATGGAATTATTTTCACAACTTTTCTTTTGTATTTTCATCTCTCTAGTCATTGTGTGTAATCTACATAGAAGGTTTCCACAAGTTTTACGTTGACTAGTGAAGGTCTAACACAACCCTCCTCCTTTACCCGGGCTTGGGATCGACTATGCTTACAAGTGACATACAAAAGATTATATTTTAGTGCATACTCTTTGCAAATGATATAGTGTTAATCGAGGATTCGAAAGAAGAGGTTAATGTTAAACTTGAGTTATGGAGGAAAACTTTAGAATTTAAGGGTTTTAGCTTGAGTAGAAGTAAGATAGAGTATATGCATTGTAGGTTTAGCAGAAAACAAGATGAGGATCATGCGTTAGAAGTGAATATTGGAATAATATTATACTGCAAGTTTCCAATTTCAGGTAGTTGGGATTGATTATATAGAATGATGGGGAAATTAATGAAGATGATAATTACAGAATACAAGTTATGTAGTAAAAATGGAGAATGACATTAGGAGTTATTTGTCATCATAAAATACCTACCAAGCTGAAAGGAAAGTTTTGAAGTACTGTAATACGATAATCTATCCTATATGGTAGTAAATATTGGACCTTAAAGGAACAACACGAGAGAAAGTGAGAGTGACAGAAATGAGAATGTTAAGGAGGATGAGTGAATAGACAAAAAAAGACAAGATACGAAATGATAGTATATGGGAGAATCTTGAAGTAGCATCTATACTGGAAAAGATGATTGAAAATCATCTAAGGTGATTCGGTCATGTGCAGAGAAGATCTTTGGAGGCACTAGTAAGGAGAGTAGATTGCTTGACTCTTACTTTGATAAAAAGGGGCCGAGAGAGACTGTTATGTTCACAAGAAAAGAGGGAAGAAAAGACAATCTCTATGAATTCTTTATTGAATTGATGAAATTTCAGCATACAACTTAGTACCCCAGGGCAATGCTCCTCAAAGAATTTTCTCTGCCAAGTTTTAGAAACTAACTTTCAAAAGACCCCTAACTAACTCTCCCAGCGACTATTTATAGCCCCAAGAAGTTGGAGAAGCGATTTGATGAGATGCAGTGAGGAACAAATGAATTTGATGAGGCAATCTATTGTAGCACACAAACAAATGATGGCAAAAATGATGGAATGCAATATGAAAGCTGATCCAAGGATTGGGAAAGAGCAGAGAAAGATGAGCAGAGAAGAACCCAGCAGCTGAGGTGCAGGGAACCAATAATATCGTAGAAAAGATTGCAGAGATAGGTGATGCATATTCAGTTTAGTTGATGACAAAAAGGGAATTTAAGAAATGGAATCAAATTCTTGACGTAAAAGACTGGACCCAGCAAAAGGTAGTAAAGACTTTGATAGTCAGCTTCTGCCATTTGCAATAGTACAATTCTCAAAGGAAGACTGCATAACTTTGAAGAAGACATCTTTAAGATTATCAACCTGCTTGCTTGACAGAATCTGAGACTGAACTACCTCATATTCTGGATCAAGTCCTAAGAGCCAACTTAAAGCTATGAGTTTATTTTGTTGCGCTATCATCTCGTCAATAGTTTTGCAGGCTAAAAGAGATTGTATCTGCTCAGTATGCTTCTTAAACTTCAAAAAATAATCCATTAGCTTCTGCTTATTTTGTTTGGGTCGATAAACTTCCTACAAGAGAGAATATAACCGATTCAAATTATTAGATTTTCCAAAAATAAATTGCAAAAAATCCCACAACTCCTTCACAGTTTTACAATGGGTAATAATAGCTTGTATTCGCCTATCAATAGAGTTTACTAGCAACGCAAGGATCTTTTTGTCGCGTATCTTCAATGTGTCAACATCCTTAGAATTGACAGGTGCTGTTTCAGTCAAATGATTATCTTTTCCCATTCCACCCAGGCTAATCTCAACCAAATACTTTCACTCCATATAGTTCGTACCATCTCCATCCAGCTTAACATCAGTAAGTTTGGATAGAAATACAATCTCCGTAACAGCCCCCTTGTACTGTGCATTTTGCACATCCTGCCTATCACGTTCAGACATTGTAACGCCGCACTCAAATTGTAAACATTGAATTACTGCATATTCTGGTCATTGAAAAAATTTTTCATCCCCACAGCAACCATGGTTGGCCTTTTCTGAAGCTGTTATTTTTTCTTTTTTTTCCGGTGGCGGTGGCATGGTGGTGGTGCGGTGGCGGCGGCAGCAGGGGTGGTGGCAACCAAGGAGAGAACCTAAAAGGCTCTTGATATCATGTAGATATTAAGAGAGAAAGAGCATAGAGAGAGAGACAGATTAGTGTGCTGGAATTGGATACCCTACAATGTGTAGAGATCCTTATATTTATAAAGATACATATGTAACCGTACTAGGGCAAGCCCATTATTATAATACTAAAATAAACCCTTATCCTAATACGTCTATTCTAACTATTCATAAGAAGGACTAAAGATACAAAAGAAAACATAGTATTGGAAGAGATTGGATGCATTCACATGTTGGTGTTTGACCTAGGAGGAATGGAAGCTATTTTTGGCTGCAAGATGGAATTGTTCCATCAATTGGAATATCAGTTGGACATTATTTCAGCAACTACTCAAGGCACTTACTTAATCCTTCACCTTGAGGACAAGGTGAAACTTTAGGGGCAAAGTATTGTAAGGTAAAAAATTTGGTTTTTAGCCTACCTTAATGGCGTCATGTGATCCATCTATCTGACTTCACTTAGTGGGATAAGGCTTGGTTATTGTTGCTTCTTCATTTATGACTCATGAAAGCAGGATGCATCTTTGAATTAGTAGGAAGTTTTAATTGGTAAGACACTTCTCTCAAATTCTCAATGACTTGATAGGGCCCAAAATAGTAGGCGGCTAACTCTTGATGAATGCACTGAGAAACTGATTGCTGCCTATGTGGATGCAGCTTCAAAAATCCCCTCTCTTGAATAGAAAAATTCTGCATTCTCCGTTTCATGTCAGCAAAATATTTCATTTTCTCTTGAGCCTTAGTTAAATGAGATTTTAATTGATGAAGTGCTTCATCATAGTCTTTCAAATCTCTTGCCACTGCTTCCACATGTGATTCTCCTTCACCATACTTGACAACAGTAGGAAGCTTATGACCATAGACCACTTCAAATGTGGTAGTACCAATGGAGGAGAGATGAGTGGTATTATACCATAACGTTGCCAAGACACACAAAGGGACCCATTTCTAGGTTGCTCAGAAGCAAAGCAATAAACATGATTCCAAATACCAAATTTTCACCTTTGTTTGCCCATCAGACTGTGGATGATAGGAAGAACTCATCCACAGCTGAGTGCCTTGTAGAGAAAATAATTACTTCCAAAAAGCAATGATAAAGATGGAGTCACGATCCCTCAAAATAGACGAGGGCATGCCATGTAACCAAATAATCTCCTTTACAAAAAGCTCAGCTATCTTCTTAGCAGTATAAGGATGCCTCAACAAGATAGTGTGTCCATACTTGGACAATCTATCCACCACCACTAGTACTGCATCTTAACCCTTGGACTTGGGAAGGCCAGTGATAAAATTCATGGAGATCTTTTCCCAAACCCAAGTAGGAATGGGGAGCAGCTGGGGTAAGCCCTACAGGGGAGCGGCTTCATATTTCTGACGTTGATAAGTGTCACTAGAAAGAACAAACTGCTGGATTTGCTTCTTCATTCCAATCCAATACCGATTGTTACCCAGCCACCTGTAACTTCTCAAGAATCTTGAATGTCCACCAGTAAAAGAATGAAATTCTTGTAATAGAAGAGGAATATAAGTGGAATATGCTGGTAAAACCAGTCTGCCATGATGTAATAAAACGCCAGGTTGCATTGAATAGCTTGGTCAAGAATCAGTACAAAGCAGAATATCATAAATAATTTTCTTTAGGACAGGATCCCTCTGCACTTCCTCTTGAATTTCCTTGCTTTGCTCCCAAATAGGACAGATCACCGATGCATTATACTGTCCCTCATCATGCAGGCAAGACAAGGCATCAACAGCCTTGCTCTCTCTACTTGGCTTGTATACAACTTTGAAATGAAACCCAATAGTCTAGCTAACCAAAATTGTTGATAAGCAGAAAGCACACGCTGGTGAAAGAGGTGTTTGAGGCTTCTTTGATCAGTATAAATAACAAAACCCTTCCTACTAAGTAGTGGCACCAATTTTGAATAGCCAGCACCAATGCCATCAACACTTTCTCATAAATTGACTTTGAAAGATGACTCAAAGACAAAGCTTTGCTAAAGTAAGCAATTGGCTTACCCCCTTGGATGAGGACTGCACCAATACCTCTTGTGGACGCATCACATTCCACCTCAAACCTTTCAACAAAGTTAGGAAGAGAAAGAATAGGTGCAGATGTCACAGTCCATTTTTAAGGACTCAAAAGCAGTAGCTTCCTCCTTTTCCCATTTAAAACCCTCCTTAGTCGAATCAGTCAATGGTTTAGCTATCTTACCATAACTAGCAATGAACTTTCACCAGTGAGTCCAAAAAATCCTCAAACCCCTTCTACACTAGTTAAGCACACTCTGAACCTGATAGATTCAAACAACATGTATATACTAGGAGAAAGAAGACTAGTCAGAAAAATAAAAGTGTAAATAACCAATTCTGTTAATAATGGACAGCTGGCTCTGTTAGTAAATAAATAAGAGCACAGATAGTTAGTTTTCAGTTTTTTACGGCTGGAATAGAATAGGCTGGTCTGGAGAGTGAGGTCTCTCGAATCACCTCAGGTTATTGAATTTTGTGACCATTCTTCCTATTCCTAATCTGTACCACATTGGTGTAGCATTGGGGATTAGGTTCAGCAATAAAGAACAGTATTTCATATTCAGATTAAACGTTGGGTTCTATCAGAACCTTTGATGGGTCTGCCGCCATACCCAAACGTGAATGATGTAGCCTAAATACTCAATGTGCTTTTTCTAGAAACTGCACTTTGTCCCATTAGCAACAAATCTGTTATCACTCAGCACCTGTAACACCTTCGAAAGATGCTGGACGAGTTGTCTAATCAATGTTATATACTAGGATATCTTCAAAGATCACCAATGCAAAATGTTGCAAAAAAGACTTAATATCTAATTCATTGCTCCCTGAACTGAAATGTTGCAGGTGATTTCTCAAGCTGAAAGGCATTACAAGATATTCATAGTGACCCCCCTGAAAAGAATGTCTTGAAGATGTCCTTATCCTTCAGTATATTCTGGTTATATCCTGATTTCAAATCTAACTCAGAAAAATAATGCGCCCCATGTAACAAATCCAATAATTCATTGACAATAGGAATATGGTATTTATCTTGCATGGTTACCTTTGTTCAAGGCTTGATAATTGACACACACATGCCATGAAGCATCCTTCTTTTTAATTAAGATAACAAGACTGGAAAAAGGACTTGAGCTAGGACAAATAATGCCCTGCTGTAGTATATCTCGAATTTATTTCTCAATCTCATTCTTATGATGGTGGGGATAATGATAAGGCCTCACATTCTTATTTTAACTAACTACTAATGGGTCCCTAACTAGCATGCCATAAGTAACTTTAATGGGGGTTACCTAACAATATCCCCCCTCCCTACAGTAAAACCTTGTTCTCAAGGTGAAGGGTTGAGTAAATGGCCTGACTAGCTGAAATCAAGTCCAATAATCGTCCAATTGATTGAAGTATGATAACCATTAGCCAGAAATAGCTTCCATTGCTCTCAGGTCAAACACAAACATGTGAATTGATGCAGTCTCTTCCATAACCTGTGCCTATTCTGTTATGAGCTCTTACTTTCAGTTATGTTGCAACTAACCAACTCTGAACAGTTAGCATCCCTTGCATCACTCTTGTTTCTCCTTTCATAGACCTGTGTAATTGCCTCTTCTCAACATACTATATGGTGGCTACCTTTGGAATTCAATCCAATTTAATACCTCTACTTCCTGATTGATACACAGGTTTTGTTATGGACAGAACAATATAAATCTATTTCTTTCATTCATCCCATGTATTTAAGATTTTTTTTTTCATGATGTCCCATGTATTTAGGATATGTCTTATCAGTTTCTAACTTCCTGGTAAACATTTTATATTTTTCAAATATTATTGTGAACTTTAAAGTTGCAAAACTCATAATCAATTATGGAACTTTTACAGTTGGACAAGGTATAAAATATTCATCTAAGATATTATAGCTGCACAAGGCTTTTATTTCTCAATTATAGCATTTGCTTTGTTTCTTGCATTGCAGGAGGGAGTATTAAAGTTCTCAATGGAAAATCAGAATATCCCTTGGAGGAAAATTTTGGAATTTGGTTGCCATGTATTTCATAAGACTCGTACGCCTGCTGATCTCAAGGATAAATGGAAGAACATCACCTCCAAGGAAGGTAGAATTACTAAATGTAGTTACAATCATTATTTATATTAAGTGAATATTTACGTAGTATTTCATTATTTATTTTTCTCGTATGCTCTTGAAACTGTGTTTTTGGTGGCAAGTAGTTTTTATAGGGAATTTCATGGATATACTATATGAAATAGTACTCAAAGTTGTATTAGTGTGTGAATATAGTTCAGGTCAACTGTAATTCATTTCAAATTCTGTTAAGTAACATTTCTGTTGTACTGTTTCTGTGTTACTGTTTTAACTGAATTCAGCATTAGCAGTTTGTACTTTCCGCTTATGCAAGCTTCTGTAAATAGCTATTATTGATCTGAGTTGTACTAGCTTTTCACAATTCAATAAAATCAGAGTTTTCAGTTCTCTCGATTCTCTCTGTCTCTCTGTTCTCTCTGCTCATGGATTCTATCATGGTATCCAGAGCTTTTGGTCCCAAACCATAGCTCTGCTATTTTTTATCTAAGAATCCTATTTCTTGAGATTTCTGTGGCATCATGGAGATTCCATTACAATCTAAGCAAGATTCTCCACTTGAATCTAATGTTCCGCCACCTATCTCTGATTCATGATAACTCACCATTAGCTATTTGTATTTTCCTCTTATTGTAAGCTTCAATAAATAGCTATCATTGATCTGAGTTGTACTAGCTTTTCATAATTAAAAAAAAAATAAAAATCATAGTTTTCAGTTTCTCTTGATTCTCTCTGTGTCTCTGCTCATGGATTCTCAGTCCTTAAACCATCTTTTGTTTCATTGTAAAACAATTACCTTCCTTTTGGAACAATCTTTTTCGGGTTTTTGTAAGCATTAGGCAACTTCCAAGATAGTACTTTCTAACAATTCTATTTGAAGGCATACATAAATAAGGAGAGTAAAGTTTTATAGAAATGTGTTGTTTGTGCAGTCATTCTGTGTATTTTGTTGAAGAGGAATGCATGCATTTTCAGATAATATATTTGCCTCTGAACTTGTTATGAGTAGTTCTATGTTTATGGCTTCTCGTTTGTGTTTACCTGATGACAATTCAAGTGGTTTGTTATATTACAGCCTTCCTCCAAATCATATATCGAGTCCCACATTGATAACTCACCACTTTAATTTTGTAACAGACTTTTAACAAACTCCGCTATGCTTTCCGTTTCTGATTTTCTTTTACGCGCTTATAGCATTAAGCTAACAGCACCTATATAAGCTGTCCCTTGTAATTTCTTTGATGAAACGATTATAAGATAAAATCATCTCTTCTCAATAGTGAGTCTTCCTCTTTATTCTTATGGCATTTTTCATATTATGTTAATTAACATGCTCAAAGATTTAAATAGACTTGCTAATTACTGGGGCCTCAAAATATTATTTGTTGTAACTTGTATCTAATTTTTTCTTGGTTTGAATTCTGATACAGGAAAGAAATAAGTATATAGCTGTGTAAATCGGCACCATTGTAGATTGTAAATTTATTCAAATATACTGTTTGGTACCTTTCTTCAAGTGGGGTTCATTTTGGTTGTTAGGTCTTTTGGGTGGGAAGAGGAACTATTTTCTCTGTGGAGCTTTTGTTCTAGGAGAAGGAATAATTCCTGTCTTGTATCTGCTCATTGACCTTGTTTTCAGATTCATTAAAGCCCTCATTTCTGTTCTAGTCTCTGGTTTCCTAATCCTAACATTGTGTCTTATGTTCATTCTCTAAAATTTGTTTTTCCTGTGAGAATGTTGATATAATATGGCAGAAGTTTCCTTCCTTTATTTTCTGAATGAATCACTTAAAACTTTGCTATTAATATCTGAACATTATTAACTCCGAACAATCATTGGATATGATTGGTGGGAGAGAAATTGATTGGAATAGTTTGACATACATTTTATCCAAATATTTGTCAATTATCCTTTCTCCTTTTCCTCTCCTACCGTACACTCACTGACAAGGCCAGAACTGACAGGTTAGAGACTTTATTTTCAAATATGAATATGCTTTAACGAAAATTGCAGAATTGTAGCCATAAGGCTAGTATTTGGATGATCTATGAACTGCTTCCAGATTATTTGAAATAATAACCGATGCTTTGCTGAGCAGGATGTAAATAGAACTGGTGCATGGAGAGCCTTCTCAGAGCAACTGTCCAATTTTAGAAACCTGGGTTTCGTGATTAGAAGGTGCAAATGAAATTTTGACGACTTGTCCAGATTTTGTGTTGAATCAAATATATAATTCAGGCACCTAAGACATGGTGCTTAGCATATATTTCTAGATCAGGCACCACACCATATATAATTCAAGTGACAAAGTGTCCTCGTCAACAAAATTTTGTCACCAACTAGTCTTTACTTTTGCGTATTGCTGCCAATGGCAGCAATGCCAAAGACGACACGCATATGGTGTGGGGGAAACACGAACAAAGACATTTTGGATAAACTCGATGTAAAAATTTGTGTCAAATATGTGAATCGTCCTTTGAACTAATTATTCTTTTACTATAATTGCGGTCAGCCTTAAAAATTTAAATTCAGCAATTGATGTTGGAGACAATGATAACTTATGTAGTTGATAATGATAAATTAATGGCTAAATTAGTAGATTGATCTTTTAATTTTTAGTTTTATTTTGGTTTGGTTCCTTAACTTCTTTTTTTTTTCTTTCATTTGTGTTTCTTAGTTTACAAGAGGGTTTTAAATAAGTCTATTTTTGTTAAAAATATTAATTCCATAAAAAAAATTAGTTTAACTCCATTTTTGTGGATTTTTTTAGTTGTCTAATTTTCTTTTCTTTCTTAGTTCTCTTATCTCATCCACGCCTTTATGACCATTTTCTCTCTTTCAAATTTAGACAAAAATTTTCTTATTTTTCATCCTCTTTTTTTACTTTTCTTTTTTCCTTCCTCGTACCCTTCTTCCGCACTTTTTTTTTTCTCTTTGAATTCTAACAAAAAAAATTCTATTTTCTTTTCCTTATTTTTCTTCATCTTCTTATTTTTTAGTCACGCTTTCACAACTCATTTCATACCCCATTCACACTTCAACAAAAATTTTATTTTTCATAAGTTTTTTGGTTGAGTCTTGGGATCATTAGGAGAAGATAGAGAGATAGACAAAAGTATTGAGACAAAAGTTTGCCAAAGTTTAATGGGGACTGGGAATGAGTTGTGGAGGCAGATGGGAGTAAGAAGAGGATGATAAAAGAGAAAATTTTTGTCAGTATTGAAAGAGGAAAGATGTGGAGATAAAATGTAAGAGAAGTGAAAGAAATGATAATTCTTTTATTGGAGTTTGAAGAAGGAGAAAAATACATTTTGGATGTATGGATGGGGAAAGAAGAAAAGAAAGCAATTGAAAAATTTATTGGAATATACTTTGATTTTGTTGAAATTTTCAAGAAGGAAGAACAGTAATTTTTTAACGAATTTAATGTTTTTTTATAAAAAAATTTATTTGAAATAGTTGTTAAAGCACCGAAATGATAAAAAAAAAAAATATTAGAGAACTAAATTGAAACAAAACTAAATGTTAAGAGATCAATTTACTAATTTATCTTAAATTATTATTGGCTAACAAATAAAACAATTGAGTTTTTTTTTTTCCAAAATAGCATAATGATGGGTGAAGCTATTACTAACCTGGTGGCCTACGTGGTGAACGATTGAAGGTCCATGGTGGTGCTACACCTGTGAGGGGAATAATCAGCTGGTAACCCCGAGATAAAGAGAAACAGAATAAATATCATCATCTAACTTGTGTTTTTCATAATAAAGAAATGAATATCTTCCATGTAATAGACAATACTTATTTTTTATTTCCTTGTAAGAACGATACTTATTATTTTATTATTAAAAAAACAGAAACAATACATTAAGTGACATATTAAAAAATATCTTAAAAAATTGTTTTACTAATATTTTATTTGATGATTTTTTTTTAATTATTCCCTATTTTAACAAAAAGAAAACCAAAATAATAGGTCTCTAGTTCAACAATTCAAAAAACATTTTGGAGAAATAGCATAATAATAATAATAATAATAATAACCGCTCTTTAATGCATTTAAAATCAACACTATAGAAATTATCAAACGAATGAAAAATAAAGCTAAATAAAAAATTTAACTAATTAAAGTGCTTATCAACGTACTTGATCCCAATGGTGATGTTCGTTTTCCAAATGAAACTCCAATGATGGCAAACAGCGGCCAAGAAGTAGCAGCGCAGAGGGAGAGTGAGTGAGTGAGTGTTCAAAGAAATGAGAAAAAAGAACGGTGAAGGTATAAATATATGTAGGTTATCAATAGGTAAATTTCTTCAATATTAAAAAAAGGTAAAATTAAAAAAGTTTGGTACTTTCTTTTACGTAAAATAATTTTAATTATTAATTATAAATTAATTAATAATAAAGTTAGTAGTTTAATTAAAAAATATTAATATTTTTTATTTTTAAAATATTAAAAGAATTATAACAGTTAATTTAGAAAAATATAAAATATTTTCTTGAAAGTATTATAGTAAATATTTTTAAAAAAGATAAATGAAATTATAAATATTAACACATATGGGTAAGTTATGCACGTCTTTTAGTACATTATGGTGCGTATTGGCACCATCATTCACCAACGGAAGTATTGATAGTTTGTTGGACAAAATAGTTAGACATCGATCCATCAAAAATTGCATCGATAATTCACAAATTTCTAACAATAGAAAGATAAAAATAACTTTTTATTACATTCACGTAAGGGAGTATTTAAAAAAGTTAATAAGAATTAATATAAAAAATTAAGAAAACTATTATTATACAATATCTATTCAAAATTATATTTCAAGAGAAACAAAATTAAATTAAATCTAAACACGATAGTCATTTATACATAAGCATAATTTAAGAAAAAAATAAATTAATTTATACATTTTCTTGGTGAGTAAAACTTAAATTATGCATAGTTTATCTTTTTGTTTGCTTTAATAATATTAATTTAATATATTAACAAACATGTAAAAAATTAATGTAGTAGTAGACTCGTAAAAATAGTAACGAATAAGATATTATAATACTCATTCTATATCCGCATTTTAAAAAAATATACATACTTAATTTTATATTTATATGGTAACTTTAATTTTCATACTTATACCCTTTAGGTATCTGTATACCCATATTTATTTCTGTTACGATTATCTAAAAAAATATTTATACTTCTTTTTATTATTTTATAATATAAATATTTTTACATTTTAAAAATAACCAATTACAAGAAATGTGTTTAAAAGAATGTAAATATTTATTATGGTATCCTTAATCTTGAGATAGTATCTATCTATCTATATATATATATATATATATATATATATATATATAAAATTGATTACACTCACTATTACTGAGTATATTAAATTTTAAAACGTAACTTCATCTACTTATTAAAATTCATAAAGTCATTCGTATTGACTCCACTTACTTATTACTCCGTATATTAAAATTCAAAACATATAACTTATGAATTAAAATTATATTTTATCATACTTATTATGTTTTAATTGTATTTAAAGAATATTTATTAGTATGGATGGTTATATTATGTTATAAATGGCAAATTAGCTTAAATTAACGTTATTAAAATTAATTATAATACTTTTCATAATTTACGAATTAAAATTATTATTGTATTTTAATATAATCTATATTTTATTAGGTAGAGAATAACAAGTTCTAATAAAGATAAATAGATCACCGTTGTAGGATACACTAAATATATATAACAAAAAAGAGTTAATTAGTACTGATACAGTACTAATTGATAAAAATGTATTAGTATTTGTATTTTCTTGATTAAAAATTTATTATTTTTAATAAATTATAATTATGTTATTTTTATATGTTTTTGTATAATAATTAACTAACTTAATTTACTTTTAAATTTTCTAATTGATTATTTTTTCTTTTCTACAAAACAATTACATACATGCTTCCATAGTATGAAGTATTTCTCACCTGTTCAAATGTATATTAAAGTAAGAAAAAATATATTTCATAACAAATTTTTCAGTGACAAATAAAATGTATTTTTTCATTAAGAAAAAATGTATTTAAAGAATATTTATTAGCATTGATGGTTATATTATGTTACAAACGGCAATATAAATATTTATACTATAAATTAGCTTAAATTACCATTATTAAAATTAATTATAATATTTTTCATAATTTATGAATTAAAATTATTATTTTATTTTAATATAATCTATATTTTATTATGTACTTCAAATACTAAAATATATTTTGAATTAAAAAAATTAAACTTACAAAATTATTAGTTTATAATATATGTTGTTAAATTAAATTTATAATAAAAGATAAATTTACATATTTAAATTATTTTATTAATTAGTTTAACATAATCTATATTTCAATATGTACTTCAAATATTAAAATGTAATTTGAATAAAAAAACACATTTATAAAATTATTTATTTATATTATATATTGTTTAATTAAATTTCTAATGAAAATATAAGTTTACAAATTTAAATTATTTTATTAATTATTTTAATATAATATATAGTTTAATATATAATTTCAAAAACTAAAACTTACTTTAAAATTAAAAAAATTATACTTACCTAATTATTAATTTATATTATATATTGTTATGATCAAATAAAATAATTTATATTTTAATATGTACTTCAAATATTAAAATATAATTTGAATAAAAAATATACATTTATAAAATTATTTGTTTATAGTATATATTGTTAAATTAAATTTCTAATGAAAATACAATTTTACATATTTAAATTATTTTATTAAATATTTTAATATAATTTATATTTCAATATTTATTAACAATATTAAATTATTAATTTAATTTAAAAATACTACATTTATCAAATTATTAGCTTATAATATATATTGTTAAATTAAATTTCTAATAAAAAGACAAGTTTATAAATTTAAATTATTTTATTAATTATTTTAATATAATATATATTTTAATATATATTTTAAAAACTAAAACTTTCTTGAAAATTAAAAAAATTATACTTACCTAATTATTTGTTTATATTATATATTGTTAAGATAAAATAAAATAATTTAAAATTACTTTCATAATTTCTATAATTTATGAATTATAATTATAATTATTTGATAATTATTATTTTTGAATTATATTTAAAGAAAATTTATTAGAATATAATTTAAATTATTTGTTAAATTAAGGAAAGTTTATAATATATATTGTTAAATTAAATTTTTAATGAAAATATAAGTTTACAAATTTAAATTATTTTATTAATTATTTTAATATAATATATAGTTTAATATATATTTTAAAAACTAAAACTTACTTTAAAATTAAAAAAATTATACTTACTTAATCTATATTTTAATATGTACTTCAAATATTAAAATGTAATTTGAATAAAAAAAAACACATTTATAAAATTATTTGTTTATAGTATATATTTTTAA